TGTAGGGAATGACCTCAAGCGCCTCCGCAAACGACCTCACACAGTACCCCTCCATTCCGTGGAGCACCTTCGCCCAGGCGCCCAATTGCCGCGACAGCTCAATCTCCGGAGCACCACCACCGGCAATCAAGAACCTCTTACTCACCAAGCACCTAACGACACACAAAGCATCGTGCAAACTCCTCTCAGCCTCAGCGATAACCAGCTGGTTCGACCCTCGAACAAGCACAGTAGTAGTCCTTCCCATATCCTTAATCCCTGTAATCTTCACAATCTTCCCATCTCCCAACGAGACCTCCTCAACAAGATCAGCATGACCCAGCTTCTCAGCACGAAAATGCTCAATATTCGCAATGGGCAAACAGTTCAACGTCTTTGTGATGAACTCAATCTCGTCGCGCTCTACATCCTTAATCACCAAAATCTTGGCTTTGGCAAGATAATGAAGAGACAAATCGGTCACGGCATCTCTCAGAATACTCTTCTGAATCAACAAAACATTACAACCAGTGGCCTTGATCTTCTTAATCATACTTAGAATGTAGTTCCTCTCCTCTTTCAAAATCCTATCCATCTGAGTATAATCAGAAACCACAATGCTCTGTTCGATATCTGTTTTCGGCGGAGAAATCTGGAACTGAATCACCGCGATCTTTGCATTTTCCATCCTGGTTAGCCCTCCGGAGGCGTGACTCACTTTCTTGTCGAACACCAAACCCTTAACGAACTCGGTGTCGTCGATTGTCCCGCCGAGCTTCTTCACAATCTTAATGTCCCTCAGATCGACCAAATCCGGCTTCGAGGGGTCTACAACCGAAAGGACAGCATCGACGGCAAGGGGCGCAAGCAAAGTCGAATACTGGCTAACGACCTTGCTGTTGAGTGAGGTGCTTGCGGACTTAACAAGCGAGTCACGATCGGAGAGCTCAACAGGGACGGCCATGGCGGTTAACACATCGACGGCCTTGATCGCTGCCTTGTGGAGGGAGTCGGAGATGACGGTCGGGTGAATGCCGTGGGATAGAAGGGAGAGGCACTGCTTGAGGAGGGCACCGGCGATGACGACGACGGTGGTGGTGCCGTCCCCGGCGGCGGAATCTTGGGATTTGGAGAGCTCAACGAGCATCTTGGCGGCGGGCTGGAGGACCTCCATGCGGTTGAGGATGGTGGCGCCGTCGTTTGTGATGATGACATCGCCGTTGGCGGCGGAGATCATCTTGTCCATGCCCTTGGGGCCGAGACTGGTGCGGACGGCATCGGCGACGGCGCGGGCGGCGATGATGTTGGCCTGGCGGATGTCCTCCTTGCGCTTGTTGTCAACGTAGGATTCGGTCTTGGAGGAGGACGATCGGGCTTTGGGAATGACTGCTGGTGCCACTGCCGCCATGGATGAGGAGCGAGAAAGAAACCCTAGGGATTTAGAAGAGAGAAAGATGTGAAAAAGAGTTGATTTGGTGAACAGTATGAGAAAGGATTGAAGAAGAAGAAGAAGAAGAAGGGTTTCAGAAATGAGCCCTAGACTAGAGAGAGAGAGAGTTGTGAAGAGACTAGAGAGCGGCTCTGAAAGAAAGAGAGCGGGAGAGAGGGAGTTCGAGAGAGTTCAGAAAATGACGGTAATGTCCTTCTGGCTTCTTAGGGCTCGCTGTTTCGAATTTTTTAATTCGACTTAAAGATATATTTTTATGTAAAATTTTTTTATTGTATTAAAAAAATTAAATGTGATTATTTTTAAAAAAAATTTATTATAATAAAA